ACTTAATTCTGCCTGTTTACTATCAGTGTGCCAACTGCTGTAGCATTGTCAAGTCTGTAGCTATGAAAAGGACAAGGCAAGATGACCGGCATCCACTAAGTTCCAGCAGCTTTTCCTATTAAATTAAAACTCATAAAATAAGGAGGACAATCTTGTTTAATTGTGTTGTGTTTAGGCGGTGTCTGTAAGTGGTGTCTTCTATTAGATAAACAAATCTGAATATATGTATTAGATGCTGTTTAAAAGAATACAGTTATCTACTTCCATTCACGTTCAGACTATTTCAAAGTACTGAGGTCTAGGGTTGCAGTTTTGTACTAGGGGATAATTAAAAATTATTAGGAATTTTCATTAATCATGAATGTTAGCAAGATTTGAATATGAAATGGCAAGACATCGTGATGTAAACCTGAAAAAAGAAAAGGCAGAATTTAATTTTTGTTGGAAGCCTTTGAAATTTTATATAATTCCTAAACCTTAAGTGTGAAATTTGTGGATTACTAGTCACCAAATGCAAAACTTATGACTGTTTCAAACAGGTTCCTCTCCTGTCTGCCATTGATTAGCTAAACAGGTAGCCCCATCCAAAAAACATAACATTGGCTGGCTGATCGAGCAAACAGCAATGTTTTGATGGCACTCCAGAGCCACCATGTTTTTTGGCATGTTTCGGTGAAACCAACCCACAAATTGTTAACCTATAGTTGTCTCTGCATAATAATCTTAGACATGTATTTTAAATTTGAAAAATGTCACACTTCAGCTTTATTAAGGGAACAGTTCTCTTACTATTAAACTCTCTACAGTGGTTTAGTGGTTAAATATGTTTGATTCAAAACTTCAGGTCTGTTGTATTAAGTCAGTTTGGCTAAGAAGATGTTTGCTAAAGAATTAAAAAACTAAAACAATATGATTAGTTTTGACTACAACTCTATAATTGAAACGTTTAGCAACCACCAATAGACCTTTAAAAAATTCATTGGCGATCTTTGCACCAGAGACTTTTATTACATTTTCCTGTTCAGAAATTTAAGGAGACTCGACTGGAGACTGAATAAACATCAGTTAAACAAGAGCCAGGAAATATTAAAACGATGAACACTCTATTGCTTAATATTCTGAAAGGCTGTAGGTTTAAACTCTAACGGGTGATCCACGAGTTCTTACCACTCTGAAGCAAGCCACTTACCTCAGCTTTCTTTAGGTGGACTGTCCCTCTGAAGGTAGGCTCACATTTACTGTTGACCTGTGATGGTTCGCGGGCGAAATCCAATCATATCTCCTGAGGGAGAAAGAATCCCCACGCAGATTTCGCTCGTGTTCAAGTTGTCACAAAAATTTCCCACCTTGACCAACCAGCGTCTTTGTGTAAAATGTGACTGCTGTCTGAGTGATTCTTGCATTGCTACACTATAATGGATAATGGACCTGAATGCCCGCAAAATTTTGCAAAAATGACCGCTGTAAGTCTCTTAACAATTTATACTGTCTATAATTTGTAGTCGAATATAGAATGTATTAAGCAACAGAAATTACTTATGAAATGTGAAATGTACTTATACATGACTGCGCGCTATTGACTTTTTTGCCCTCAAAAATTCTCTTAACTAGGCCTATTGCTAATATGACCGGAGGTTCTAATATACTGGCAGTGGAGATCAGATGCATGTTTGATATCAGGCCTTATATTATTATTGTTAATACAGTGTAGCCTATCTTATTTTTAGGATTGCACCTCTGTGCCATTAATGTGCTCCAGACAGAAATGAAAACGGGGAAGTTGTGGCCTAATGGTTAGAGTTGGACTCGTAACCCAAAGGTTGCGAGTTCGAGTCTCCGGTCCGGCAGGAATTGTAGGTGGGGGGAGTGAATGTACAGCGCTCTCTTCCACCTTCAATACCACGACTGAGGTGCCCTTGAGCAAGGCACCGAACCCCCAACTGCTCCCCGGGCGCCGCAGCATAAATGGCTGCCCACTGCTCCAGGTGTGTGTTCACGGTGTGTGTGTGTTCACTGCTGTGTGTGTGCACTTAGGATGGGTTAAATGCAGAGCACTAATTCCTAGTATGGGTAACCATACTTGGCCACATGTCACTTCACTTCACTTCACTAAGTGATGGAGGAGAAGCACTTCTTTTATTTATTTTTTTTTAAACAGATCTGATAGGTAATATTTACACCTGCCATTAACATCTTGTTGAGCTGAAATTTTTAAAGGGATAGTTCACCCAAAAATGAAAATTTGATGTTTATCTGCTTACCCCCAGGGCATCCAAGATGTAGGTGACTTTGTTTCTTCAGTAAAACACATTTGATGATTTTTAAGTCCAACCGTTGGAGTCCATCAGTCTTATAATGCATGGCAATGGAAACAAAATCTATGAGAGTAAAAAAAAACATGCACAGACAAATCCAAATTAAACCCTGCGGCTCGTGATGACACATTGATGTCCTAAGACACGAAACAATCAGTTTGTGCCAGAAACCGAACAGTATTTATATAATTTTTTTACCTCTAATACACCACTATGTCCAAAAATAAATTAAAAGCTAAATAGAAATATTTTTTAAGAATCAAAATTGAATTTAAAATGACAAAGACAACAAAATTAATAAAATTATAAATAAAACTGAAAATACAAAGCTGAAGCTAATTCAAAATATGAATAAATACTATAATATAAATAAATCTATATTAATAGATCTATATAATAAATAGAGCTGGATATCAGTGCATATTGGCTACCAAAGGAAAAAAAAAACGTCCCTGGAAATCCAAGCCATCTGGTTATCCT